AGATTTACAAGTTACTGTTACAGATCACGTCACTTTATTTTGCCAACTCTTTTGTACTTTATTGATAACTTATGAGTTACTGGAAGAATCTGAGGCATCTATGGCATGATGACATCACACTTCGGTAACATCGCACCACAAAATAAGTCCGACACGGGTTTTTTTGAACATATAAGTAGAAACCAGTGTCATGATAAAGTTATGCTCATCATCTGATTACACGGACATTCAGAATCGAAGGACAATCCTTCCCAGTCACACAAAAGCTGTTGTTCAAAGTTTGCCAAAGACTTTCTTTCATGATTCGACTTATGCTTAAAAGAATTATAGTGGAGTCTTACATAGAAAAAAACTCTTCTCCTCCAAAGATTTTATAAACTCAACCATTTGTTTACACTTAGAGAATTTGCAGTCATATCTATAATCTGTATGACAATCACTGATGATTCAAGCAAAGGAATGCATACCATACCATGTTAGTATCCAGAGGCATAGCCGAGACTTGATCAAACCATATCACTCCCTTTTGGGTGGTTGTCAATTGAAGTCTTGACTTATGATTTGTTCCTCTTGCCTCTAACAGAACCTCCATCTTTGTCCAGCTTGAAACATCTGAAGCAGATGCTCTACAAAAATACTTAGAATTTAAGAAGGCAACATACATTTGCTAAGGGACAATTTACAGAACTATGTGGACGAAAATAGCAAGCGGTGCGCACCTTATGTTGGCACTAGCCAGCAATGGCATCCCATTTGAGCCGGTCAAGGCCAAGGATAGATCGATTGACGTTGATGACCGAACATAAAACACTACTTTGTAAGTCTTTCCCTTTTCAATATTCTGGAAAAAGGCAATGATGGTTAAAAGCCTTCTAAAGGCAGGCAAAATATAATCACTGTAGGAAGGGGAGAGTATAGCGAAGCAAGTATAATCAGGGACTATTAAGGAAACTAATACCAAAGTAGATGCAAAAACGAATTGACCAAGATCTGACAGGAATAGAAATCCAAGTTCTAACCATGCCCCAGAAGCCCGGGTTATATATACCGACTCCCCCAGCTGGACATGCTTTGGTTCCTTGGTTATCACAGAGCACATCCATTCGCAGGGCAACAGTATTCCGCTCAAAGCATGACGACCGGTCCGTTGATAAAATTAGAGATGACTCGTTGCCAATGATAGACCAAGGGTCAATGTTTGAGGGGGTGTTCTGGCCTCCAGCTTCAAAGCCTGGAAATCCAACGTATAATCAGGATTTCAATGTGTGGTTGATCTGAGAAAGAATATTTACATCTTAATGCCTTAGTTAACAATTCAAATGCAAAACATTCTGTGATGGGCTTGTGAATCATAGCACATATTTTGTGCCTCTCTATATGCAGGAATGGCATGAAGGTGTTTGGATGAATATTTTCTCCACGCGCATGTTTTGCTTAACTATGAGAGCACGTGCACGTGGGCAATTGGTGTGCGAGTCTGTATGCTTGAAGAACATTAAGTGCTTAAACAGCTGCTGGTGCTCATCCAAGTCCAGAGGTTTTCATCTTAGAGCCTGGTCTAAAAGTATGCTCATTAAACTCAGGTGGCCACATGACCAGCAATTTTGCATTCAGATTCACGTACGTATCTAATATTCATATTTACTTGAAAAAGACATGTGACTCCATATTCACACACTGTCCTAAAAAAAAAAAAAAAAATCAAGAAGAATATGTGACCTCTGTTGCTTACAAGTTCTGCCCACAATCCCCCAGCCCCTGCATGGTTGATCTCCTGCCAAAAAGTCAAAGAAATGCTGAATTCCCAATATATAACAGGACCAAACAAAGCAGACATAAACAAATATGTGATCAAAGGCGCTGTTTCTTCTGAAAAATGAGGCAGTCATTTGAGTGGCTGAACAAATTAAGACCGAGCAAATTAGAAGCTAATCAAGCAGTCAGTATTGAACTCGATGCTGTTAAATTACAAATGGATCGTGGCAGGAAGGAAACTGTAGCAACTGATTATAGCCGTGGTCTGGCAGGTCAAGAACAAACCTCGAAGAATATACCGAACAGAGTTTCTGGTATCGGCCGACCAGCTGCTTCGGAGGCATTTACGAAGAGCTGTGCAGTTTGGTTCTTGTCGACTTCAAGAGCAAAGCTTTGCCATACAAAACAGATGCCAATGAAAACGTCGATAAAAAATCTGTTAGATGAGGCCTTGTGAGAACCCATTTTCTCCTCCTGCATTCAATCTCTGGAAATCAAAGACAGAGTTGCCAATTAGTTATTGTTTGATTTGTCTCTTTAGAGACCTCGTCTTTTGTTAGTGTTTCGTCACTGAATCCATTCAATTTTATGACTTCGCTGACAACATAATGTGACAACTGAGGACATCAAAACTCATCGCTCAGCAGGCATGAGTACGGGTATGCGATTTGAGGCTCAAAGTGTACTAATGAAATTATGACATGCGCAATCTTCTTGGAAGAAAAGCAGACGTCACGATATTTCCTGCTGATAAATGCAAACATAACTGTTGACTCGCACCAAGGCATATACATCACCAATACCACACCCAAAGCCAAAACATTAAAATTTCCTCACACGCATAAACAAACATCCTGTCTCGCAGATGCGAATGCTGCCACATACATATGTGTGGTGTCCAATCACAGGTGTGCACACACACAAGCGCACACACACAGAAGTATGTTCAAGTAATTAAAGGTCAGTCTTTGGAACCAAATAAGAGGAATCAAGAAGAATTATAGCTAGGTGGGTCTGGATGTGGCTATACATTGAAACATTCAAAGACTAAACACAAATCGCCAGTGTAAACCTCAATTCTCCATACGAGGGTACGTCAAAGAGCCATCTACAACTCACTTGGCCAGGCGGGTGGAGGCAAATGACTTGCACAAGTTAGAGAATTCAATATGTAAATGCTTCTCTTAATGCCGGCAAAATAGACACAGTATTAGTAACGGACACATTGGACAGATCATTAGACTTTGTTCATCGGTAGTCTAAGAGCATGAATAAATCTTACCCAGCTACCATTACCAAGTGTGGGATTTCAAAAGCCAAAAGCGATGGTGTTACCTGGACTGTGTAGCTGATAGGCCTCTGTTCTTGGGCATTCAAGAGAGGGAAGGAGAAACTGGAATCTGCAAGCAGAGATGAGTGAAAGCAATGATTGGGTGTTGTGGATATACAATGAATGGGTTTTGACTTCTTATACACACAAATACAGAGCAAGTGGAATTGGTCAGTACAATGCCATTTACTAAAGAAATGCTTATTAGTGGCCTTTGGGTTTGCTTCCAAGGGACGGACTCGTTTGGCAGTGGATTACAAGGCAGCACAAAAAGGGTCTTGTCCTGTCTTGCAAGCCAGCTTTCAGATGTCAATTTCAGTGCTGAACGTAGATGCTTGGGCACAATGTGGTGATGATGATGATGGTGTTGATAAGGAAACAGTCGGATCATAAAGAAATCTTTTAGGGAATAGGACTTAACATTTGATGATGATGATGATGATGATGATGATGATGATGATGCGTGTTTTTTCCTTGTTTTGCGAAGCTCGCCTGGCCCACTTACCGTTCGGGATATAGCTTTCTGACTTGTTCTTTCGGCTATTTGCCGTGGAAAGCATCAGGGGTGACGTGGCGCACGATAGTATATCTAATTTTTTCTGAGTTATAATACGAGTAAATATCATAAAAAATCCCACACTACACTCACTTGACATAAATATCCTAAACTTTGTTTTTTGTGTCGCCAAAAATCCTAAACTTGCTCACTTTAACATTAATACCCAAAATTATACACGTGTGATATATGTGCCATCTATTTTATTTCCATTTAGGGCCTATTTGTCACACCGGTATAAATTTGGAGTTCTTGGGTATTTATGTCACAATGGGCAAGTTTAGAGTTTTCAGCCGCACAAAAAAAAGTTCAAATGTATTTGAGTCACAATGGACAAAATTTGAGATTTTTTATGGTATTAACCCTAATATCAAATCAAATTTCATTAATGAGAAGTTGTAAACATTGTGTGTCCAATCACGACACGATATAAGAACGTAGGTACGAGAAATTATAAGGTGAATTCAATACATGTAGGAAAATAAACATGGACCACCAACAGATTTGCTCGGGTCCACATGGAACTTACCATTAGCAACGGTCCAAATTTATTTTGATGTGTGTATTACGTTCGCGCGATAGATAAATACCATTGTTTAAGTAACGACATAATCGAACATTCTTTTACTAATGATAAATGGGCGATTGTCACGAAGATTAACGACACGTGAATGGTCGGTGAACGGATATATATATTTAGAAGGGTCGGACGGGAAAATTTATGATTAGGTGATATTTGAATTTTGAAAGGTTTTATCATAGGTTTGATACTACGAAGAATCTCAAACTGGTACACCTATAATAAATTTACTTCAAACTAATTTTTTGATCATAAAAAAACTCAAAACTGATACACATGTGACCAAATTTATCCCAAATTAATTTTTCGATCGCCAAAAACCTCATACTAGTACATTTGCGACAAATTTACCCTCAATTAGTTTTAATTAAATTAGATTAATAATCATGAAAAATCACAAAACTGGTACACCCGTCAATTATCACGCGTCATCCAACTCAGCAATTCGACTGTAAAATTCAATGGAAACTAACGATGGTGAATTTATCATAGATATATCAATTTGAAAATCTTTTACCAGTTTGAGGATTTTTCGTGACATTAACATTTACCAAGTGATTTCGTTTGATAGTCAGGACAGTTTTTCAAACCTGCTCGGCAACGGTAAACTGCCCGGCCCTCCGAATGGGGTGTCGTGCCTTGTCTTCGTCTCGTCCTTTCCGTACGTGTTCTTTACTAGGCTTTGCGCGCGCAAATGTCGCACCAATCTGGAAGCTCTTTGCCGGATTTGGACAAGAAACTGTTGAGAGAGAGAGAGAGAGATAAGGACGTGGTGTTTGTAGGGATGATGGCGCTGCGAGGGCAATGGTGAAGGGGGGGAAGCAGTTATTTCTTTGGCAAAACAGAGGAGAAAGACGTGGGGATTCCGAAAACACCACCTCCCGAATACTTAAAACTTTGATCCGCAGGAACCCTGCAAAATAACAGGACGAAGAAACCAAGTGGTGTTTTCGGGGATTAGAAAAAGAGAACAGGGCTGGAATCGTTGCGGACGATAGAGAAGAAGATGAGCAGGAACAAAGTCCACAGCCATGACGATGGTGGCTTCTCCTCCAAAGAAATAGCCTCCCCTGGACCCCTTCCCAGGAGGCTCTACCAAGTTTGGAAGGGTAACAATGTAATCTTTTTCGTCCCCGAGTTTCGTTTTGTGTTTGCGCGTCGTAATCGTTCGTTGGCTGCTAAAAGGTGGTGGTGTTTTTGTTCTTTTTTATATCTGACCTGTCGAGCATTCCTTTGTTCTTGAAATGGAATCTGTCCAGTTGGGTTGGGTTCTCAATTAAACTATCGCGTCGTGTGATGTTCTGGTTTTCCGTTTTTATTATATCGTTTCATTTTGTGCATTGGCCCATTTTTGGTTCGATTTCATTTCGGTTGTGTTTGGCGCTGCCGGCAGATTCTTTTTGATTTGGTATTGAATAGTTTGAGAAAGAGAAGATACCTCTTTAGCCCTATTGGTTTCCCTCTCCTCATGATTTGATGTACTTGAGCCACTTTTTACTGTTCCTGTTGTTAATGTAATGCATATTCAATTTGCATATAATCCTCACCGCTCAGCAGCATCCTTTGCATGCTTGTCTGAATAAATCTGAGAGTGATCACTCCGTTTGTTGAGTAGAATTTGTCATGTTGGCATCTCCTTTCTGCAAATTAGATGCTACAAGGACATTATGCATGTTCAATAATTTCTATTTGCTACATCGATAAGCCAAAAAATATGAGTAATTGCAGATTTATCTTGATGAGCATTCGAGTATTCAGTTCGAAGCTTGACATTCTGGTGTGTGGTGTTAGGAAGTGCCTGCTCAATGGCTCTTATATCCTGGTCGTTTGTGTTTAACCATGTCATTTTGCAGCTGAAAATCTTATATCGTGGACTCACAAATGAGTTTGAGACCAGAACAAGTTGATGCAGCTTTAGTTGGACCTTGTGTTTTCACCCAATAAAATCCAGGAATTAATTATTAGACGATTATAAGGGCTTCTCTGATCTAAAGACCGACTTCTTTCCCTCAGGGGTTAAGCTCAATGGAGAGCTACTCAAAGAAATGAATTACCAGTCTATTATTCAAGTAGCGCGACTAATCTGCCATCTTGATGTGGATGATGAGATTTTCACCTTTTATTCGTCTTCAAGTTGATTGATGAATTTTGTTTGTCTCTCAGAAATTCCTCTGCGGTGGGAGATTAGTCTTCGGTCCGGATGCTGCATCGGTGTTGTTGACCGCTACCCTCATTGGAGGTCCCACAATAACATTCTGCATAAAAATGCTTTTGCTTATCGGTGTAGTGAATCCACTCTTTGGGTACACCGTTCTGATCATGGGATTAGTCCTCACTTTTCTGGTTGGTTCATGTAATGTTTCTTTCGCATGTTGCAAATTAATGGCAGTACTTAGTTATTAGGGTTAAGCTGTCCAAAATCTGTGCAGGACTTCATTTTTCTGTTCCTTACCTCCGGTAGAGATCCCGGTATAATTCCAAGAAATTCACAGCCACCCGAATCAGATGAAGTATGTGATGCAACTACTCCGTCAACAGAGTGGGTCAATAGTAAAATGCCAGATTTGAAATTGCCAAGAACCAAGGATGTACAAGTGAATGGTCAGACAGTAAAAGTGAAGTTCTGTGATACTTGTTTGCTATATCGACCACCACGGGCTTCTCATTGCTCCATCTGCAACAACTGTGTGCAAAGGTTCGATCATCACTGTCCATGGGTTGGTCAGTGTATCGCATTAGTAAGTTTTTTGCATGTTACCATAAGTTATGCTGTTCAATCCCACTTTTAAACTCTTTATTCTGGAACTTTTAAGTCAATGTGCTTTCGTAACTTACATCTTGTATTTGTCACTGCATCTGGAAACACACTTTGCTGCTATGAGCATTTTTTTTGCTATAAAAAAGAGACCCTAATCCTTCATATTTATTTTGTTGTTGTGCGAGCACTTGAAGTACTTATGGTGCCGGAAACTAACAGAATCATTCATATGAACTTTTGTTGCAGCGTAACTATCCGTTCTTTATATGTTTCATATCTACATCAACCATCTTGTGCATATATGTGTTTACCTTCTCGTGGATCAACATTCTTCGACAAGGAGGCAATCTCTGGAAGGCCATGTCGCATGATGTCCTCTCAGTTGTTTTAATAATATATTGCTTCATCGCTTTCTGGTTCGTTGGCGGGCTCACAGTGTTCCATCTTTACTTGATTAGCACCAACCAGGTAACTCTCTTGATGCTATCTGTTCCCCATGCTGTTCAAAATATTTAATTTTTTGAATCAGGATTCTCTTTCACATTCAATTTTCTTTTTCTTTGATTGCTTTTCTGATTTCCATCTCCTTTGGTTTCTCCTTTGCCCCTCGCAAGAATCTCTAATTTATGGAGAGGGCACTGCATGTTTTTTTCCAATTCTGAAAGCTTCGCGTGGTGCCCCACTTCATTAGCTATCAGATAGCTCTTCTCATAATAAATGTCCAGCGTAGTAGAAAGAGTCATTGGTTTTTTGCAGGGCCGGTTAATTCTGATCTCCCTTTTCTTCCTTTATGTCTGCATGATTTCTTCTATTTTTATTTAACACAACCAATAAATATCGGCTTCTCATTGCTTTCTCCATGAGTCCAACCCTATGAACTTGTGGTCTAAATTTCGTCGTTTCTTTGGCATTTGGTTTTTCCAGACAACATATGAAAATTTCCGCTACCGCTACGAAAAGAAGGAGAATCCATATAGTAAGGGAATGCTACGAAATGTTAAGGAACTTGTCTTTGGCAAGATCCCACCTTCGATGATCAATTTTAGAACTTGGACATCAGAATACGAGACCAGTGGATCCGTTACCTCCGAGTTTGAGAAAGGCTATGTAATTTCCAGAGGAAACTTTGACATAGAAATGGGAGGCTCTCTTCGGAAGGAGGGCGAAGCTCAACTTCCGAGCATTCTGCAGAGGTTGGATTATAGTGGCATTGACGAGAAGTTGAAGAGAAAAGAGAGAGAGGGATCTGTTGCATTCGATCCGTTCTTCTTCCCTGCTCATCTAGATTCAAGGTATCAAAAGCAGCAACCGGATAATGGACTTAAAATCAGTTCAGGTCACAGAACAGTGGATACAGGCTCCCATCAAATTGCATCGATCAGTCCACTTAGATAGAGCTACTGTGTTTCTTCTTTTGCTTCCTAGACATGACTTCATCTCCGTATGAAGTATATGAAGTTTTCAGGGGCTAAGTTAAACAAAGGAACAGAAAGGAAAAGGTTGCTTGCGAAATGCAGCCTAGAGGTTTTCTAAAATGCAAAGGAGGCTTCATCGCATGAAAACCACGTTGCATCCCCTCAGTGGCCCCTTTTTTTTTTTTTTTTTTTTTGGCCGCAGCTAATCCTCATTGATTTTGCTATTTGTGGACTTCATACGCTGAGATCCTGATTTCTGTGGATTAGTAAATTCATTTGAAGGGCTTGCATTGTTGTTGCTGTAGCAAATCAGCCTGCTTATGAAGGAAAATGAACGAGAGAAATTGCAAGCAATTAATTACATCAAAGGCAGTCAAGCTGTACATTTGAAGGTTGATTTATAAACTAGTGGAAAGTAAGTGATGAACAGTTGCAGAGGCTTGGTGGAATTTGAGAAAAACTAATTATGAGAAAATTTGTTTGTGTAATGGGTGTGCTATATTTAGTCCTTGTAAAAGCACAAGGACATCTGAGAAGGTATGTGTACTCAGTTATAACTAAAATGCCTAAAGATAAGTCCCTCTAAAGCTGGAACCGGGAACGGCATCGCTAGAAGGGTCCTTTTGGAGGAAAGATTATTGGCTGGTAAAGCACATAGCATGACTATATCTAGTTTTTCCATGCTTGTTTACTGAACAGGAGTGTCGAACAGAAAAGAAATATAGGCATTGCCGAGCTTAATGTGGTCTTGTTTTTTGAGGTAAAATCGAATTTGTATTCCGAAGTCAGCGAAGCAAAATTCCTAATTCTACTTCGCTGTTTGCACTGGTTCTCAAAATAGGCTATTCTTCGTCGCAGAAAGTCGACGGATAATGCCAGTAGCTTGACATGAAATGCAGCCTGAGAATCAAATAGATGGGTCGCGCATGTAATACAACAGATCTGAAAGATGATCTGCGGGTCTTTTGTTCGTGACGATAAGCTTCAAAACAGAGGATGAATGCAACACAAAATGGATGCAGTTTATGATTGTTATATACTGTATTGAAAAGGCAAAATCTTTGAGAGAGAGAGAGAATTGGACCCGGCACATACTTCCTCAAACCCTTTTTGGCAGCTAAGTTTCCTGGCATGTATATATTACTTACCACTCTATCTTGCTTCATTCTTGCTTTCTCCATGGATACTTAAGGACATGTTAGACTTGAGCTCAAACTCTGAGGGCTATGGCAGGTTCCTCTTTTCGAACTAGCAGAGAGAGAGAGAGAGAGAGGGATTTTCCATTGTATGAATGATGATGATGGCCTGGCACTTACCTGCAAGAACTTAGTAGGATCTTCTTCTTGGTTGAGGAAAACAAGAAACAAACTGCGGTTTCTCTACTGAGAATGTCCTTTCTTTCCCTTTTCTTGGAAACCAACTCCTAGAATGGACCAGGGGGCATCTGCAAGGAATATCTGTTCCACGCTAGTTCGGCCTCTTGTTTGTTCGATTTGCGCGAATAAGCATTCGAGGTTTGCCAATCAAATATCGATCAAGCATCTTCTTCCCTTGGAGGTTTGGACCGTTTGCTAGTGCGTAGGAACTTCGTCCTTGGCATCAGCCTAAATGCCAGCGCGAGTCCACGACAGTACGACAGGGATCGCGAGAAAAAGGAGAGAACATTATCCTTAGTAGCGACGGATGCAAAGTTGCATACTCATTACTTGTCCTGCCATCTGATATCTTGTTGTGACTTATACTTATCATTTTCATTCGCATGCCGAGCTTCGTGGTCGAGATCGATCTTTGCATCCGGGCTGATTAACCTATCGGGTCGTTGAATCTATGCATCCATGGCTAATAACGGAGCACGTCGGACTCGCCGAGTACATGATTAATCTTTACCGACGCGCCGTAGTACCGCACGCTTTGTTTCTCGGTTCCTGGATGGCTCCAAAAGAATGAATGAACAAGCGGGACGGCCATTCATTAATTACTAGTCGTGATCGCATGTTGATTCCCGATTTAATTTGTAAGAAGTGATTGCTTATTCTCCATAACCAACCACCACACTTCGACCATTGAATCGAAATAACTTGATTGCACTTTCTGAAAGAAGGGTTAGGACAAGGATGAATCAATTCGAAAGCTTAATGATTCAATTGCAATCCGCGCACGAATTTTAGGACTTTCGGTGCAATTTTTTTGGATGGTAAGAGCTAATTTTGCATTGTCTTGTGCACGAGAAAAGACAGGACAGATACAAACAAATTTTGCAAAAGTAGATTACATCTCTTCGTGGCCTTTGAGGATCTTCTTGTCTGGCCGTCCACAAAAGCCGATGGGATTCAGTCAGCCAACAGAACAAGAAGGAACATTTGAAACCTTAGAATATTTACTCCCTTTGTTGACCAAACAATGTAACAACAATAATTTCAAACCCAAAAAAAATGTGAAGTTTCATCATATTAATGTGAATTTACACCCCTCACTAAAATTAAAAATTTCTGACTTTCCTTCCACGATTGAAGAATGAAAACGAAACCAAATTCGTAATGTCAAGAAAATCAATCCATGACCATGCATGTCGATGGTCGATATCCGGTTATTTCGATATCAAAAAGAGGAATTTCCACGAGCCTCGGGATTTGCCAAAAAAAAAATGAAATTAATTCAAATAGTAGTCACTAAGAAAAGACCTTAAGTTCCGTTTTTTGTTTGATTAACCATAACAATGAGACAATGGAAATGAATATACTAAAATAGAAAAAGTTTCCACGGTTTGGATTTTGCGTTGTAAATTGCTATAGATGAGAGCAAACCAATAGACTTATGAAGGGTTCATACCATATGAAGTTCCCTTTTTTTATTTTTTAGTGAAAAGTTGACAGATTTCAAGTATTAATTTTTGGTTTATTTTTAAAGAGGTTAATTCCATTAAAAATCTCAAACCGATATCCCATTATCATAATCTAATTTAAATCTTGTCAAGAGTTTCGAAATTGGTACCCCATTCACAAATCTGCACTCTGGTAGCATTTCGTTTAATATCTCGTGCAAAATGTGCATGTGTGAAGGCATGTGGATTTTCCACGCCAAAAACGCCATTCTCCACATGAGATCCATTTTGTAGCCGTATATCACGCGTGTCGACACGCACGCCATTTCGATTGGATATTGAACAGAGTGCCGCCGGAGGGTGGGTTTGGCGAGACGAAAGTTAGCTTGGGATAAATTTGTTGTGGGGGCACCACTTCGAGTTATCTGCTTTTTTTTTTCTTTTTTTTTTTGTCTCGATCAATCCTAATTAATTTCCTCTTAGTCCCACCCTCCCACGTTAATGATAATAAACATAAACTTCCGCTCATTCCAAATCCCGACAGCCATTTGTCTTCGTTGTTTCGAGTGGATCAAACACAATAGGACAAATCGATCGGACTTTCCACTGTTTATGCAATGCTATAATTTTCATAAATTAATAAAAAATAAAAAAAAAAATAAAAGAGAGACAACATCGGGTCGAAGCAAAATAATTCAAAATCGAAGAAGAAGCAAGCTGTGAATGTGATGGCACGTCGGTTGGGAGGAGCAGCACCAATGCTCCGAGGACCAACGGAAACACGCGTAAACTTTCATTATTTATTATTATCATTATTATTTATCCGCTAATTATTTATTTATTCATTTCATTTTTGAGATAATAACATAATTATCCACGAACTTTGATCCGGTGCGTCTGATATGATCCCGAATTTTGAATTTGTTGATGTGGTCGAACTCTAACTCAATGTGCATTGACATTTTTGATTTTTAATTTATTTAATGTGGCCTTTCTGACTTTGCACATGTTCACTTTAGCCTTTGAACTACATTGAAAATATTTAATGTTGTCATTTCATTAATTCAAGTTCGGGGACAACATTTATATAATCCAAGGATTAGATCTAACATGTACTAAAAATTCAATGGCACGTTGAACAACTAGGCTGACCATATTGAACAAATTAAAAGTTCAAAGATCATATTGCATATTGAGCTAAAGTTTGAAGACCATTTGTGTCGTTATTCCTTTCATTTTCCATTAATCCCGAAAATTCAAACGACATAGAAACAATAACACAAAAAAAGATAATTAAATTAAATATAATAAAAAAAGAGATGGCGCATAACACCCGCGAGAAAATTGAAACTTCCGCCCGTCACCGAACTCATCGCTCTCTCTGCATAACGTGGAGAGAGGGAGAGAGAGAGTGGGAGAGGAGTGCTAATGTGACAAGATCACGGTATATTCCGTCTCACAGACACAAAGAGGAACAAGAAGAAGCAGCGGAAGAAGAAGAAGGAGGAGGAGAAGGAGGAGGAGGAGGACGATAGGGAGGGGAAGTTGTTGTTGTTGTTGTTGGTGCGGAGAGCAGAGGCAGATACGCTGTTGTTCTTGTTCCCTTCTGTTGTCACTCGCATCGATTTGAATAAGATTTCTGTCTCTCTGTCTCTCCATCTCTCTCCATTCCAGCATTTGATGAGTTTCTTGTCGGGCCACATCGTGTAAAGTTTCGAAATTTGGGGTGTGGGTGTGATCTTTCGGAGTCGCGCTGCGATGCTCTTTCTTGGGTAAGTTCTTGTTTTGTTTTTTTTGTTCTTTTGGGTTTTTTGGTTTCTTCCCTTCCCTTTGTTGGCGATGCTGTCCCTGTGAAGAAGAGGAAGTTGCGAGAGGAAGTGAGAGGGAGAGGGAGAGAGTGATACCTGCGTCGTCGCCGCCGTCGTCGCCGTCGCAGTCGATATCTTTCTCGCAAAGGAATGGCACAGGACGCCAAGCCCTGGAGGCTCTATCAGGTCTGGAAGGGAAGCAATGTGAGTCTCTCTCTCTCTCTTTCCAATGCGCTTCCGCTTTGTCCGGAGCTGGTGCTGCTTGGCGCAGTCGAGTTCGTGCGATTTCGATGCTGGGTTTTTTTGGCGCGTAGACTGTTCTGTATGCCCTCTTATGTTCTTCCTTGTAATGATGGTTTTCATTCCGCGGTTCGTCGGAAAGAACTTGGAGTTTGTTCAGGCAGCGGAATGTGTTGGTCCTTCTTGTACTTTGGCTAGATCAGCGAATTGTCTGTTTGTGTGAGTAGGGTACTTCGTTGCTCCTTTCTCAAATGCTTTTGCAATTTGTAGTTGATCGTTAATTGACTATTGTTCGGTATGTTTAATCACTAACCATCTTGTTGAATGTTGGGTCAACTGTTTGTGTGGAGGGAATTGTTGTTCCTTGGATGAAAATTTGCTAGTGGTCTTAAAATCTAATGAGACGGCGCAATGAGGAAGAAGTAGGATTGGGAGCAATAAATCTTTATGTGATTTGTGGATCTCGAAACTTCAGAACTAATTGGTACCGTTTGGCAATATCTAATGCTCTTTTGTCTCTCTTTCTTTCTTCTCCCTTTTCTGGATCAGAGATTTTTCTGCCGAGGGAGGTTGATTTTCGGGCCTGATGTTGCGTCCCTGTCACTTTCAACCCTCCTCATCGCCGGCCCTGCGATTGCTTTCTCCATGAGAGCCCATTCCAAAATCAACGATCATCGCTATGCATTGCCTGCACTGATTGGTGGTTTGATCATCGCTGTTCTGGTATGTGTGTCAGAGCTTCCATCACACTGACAAATTAAAGTTTGTTATGAATATCGTATTGCATGTTAATGTTCTTTTCAGCGGGTAAGAATTTTTTTTCCATCAGTTTTGCCCTGTATCTATAGACATGTGAAATGCTTTATTAAACGTGCTTCCTGGAACAATATTTTTTCTGTTGGTGCCATCCATCTCTCGAGCGATGCCTTCTAATATATACAAGATAAGAATTTGAGGAACCTGATCTTCACATAGAGTAACATTTAACTTTATTATGCATTACAGTATATACCTTTTCTCTTATTTCTCGGGCTTTTGACTGTGCAACAGAAACTCTGAAGGAAAAAGTTGTAAGAGAGAACGCGTCCCGTTTTGGCATTACGTTGAGATGATTTCTCTCTCTAGAATCTAAGTGATGAACTGAACGTGCGTTGACTTTGCATTTCTGGAACTTTATGTGCTGCTGTTCAAGGAAGTGTTTTCTCGTGGTTTAATATTTATGAATGGACAACTTCTTCACATTTTGCAATGCTATTACTGATGACTTTGATTCTCAGTTGGGGATATCCTGTTGCAGATAGTTGTTTGCTGACTCAGACTACCCATTTTCATGCAGGATTTAATTTTTCTTTTTGTCGCTTCTGCTAGAGATCCTGGGATAGTCCCTAGAAATTCTAAGCCTCCCGAATCAGATGATGCATTTGATGCTACTACCCCATCAATGGAGTGGGTTAATGGGAGAACACCTCATATGAAACTACCTCGAACAAAGGATGTGATGGTGAATGGTCATGCAGTAAAAGTGAAGTACTGTGATACTTGCTTGCTATTTCGTCCTCCTCGTGCTTCTCATTGCTCAATCTGCAACAATTGTGTCCAGAGATTTGACCATCATTGTCCATGGGTTGGCCAGTGCATTGGAATAGTAAGTAATTTTGAGCCGAGCAACTTCTACAAAACTTAAAAAAAAGGTTCATATTTAGCCTGATATACCAAGTCAATATAATCTGTTGTTATATATATGGATGGGCTTGCCATTTTTTCCTTCTTTTTTCTGTCCAATCTTTACTAGGTCATATGGCGAGGTAAGCTGAAGTCTTGAAGATTTCTTTTGTGTGTGAAAAATACATTACTCTATTTCCAGATAGTGAAATTTAACTCGATGAATATCTTATATTTATTCCTGTGACAAGTTGCATCTCCCAGTACCTCTTATCTGATGCACTGTGTTTTCACCCTGAGATTTTGCCTCTTATCTTTTCACGTGTAATGAAAGTTTTCAAGCCTAGGTCGGTCTGTCAAGTGCATTGTTTGTCTACAACTGACGCTCTCCTAGTTAGGTGTTACCAATTCATGATTGATGTCACTATGATGTAGGACTCTGAATCTGCTTTAAGGAAAAAAACGACGTCAGAAATCAAACACTTTTCTTGATGATTACATAAGGAAAATCTATCTATAGATTATATAAGAAGTTATGAACAGAAGTCTGCACATTTACATGCAAAGAGCAACACTATCCATTTGTAACCAATTTAGACGAGAGACAATTGACTGCATTACCTCGATTAGGGGAAGTGATACAAAGCTTAATTAGTAGGAGATCCTCTTGTGGAGTCATACTCGTTTTACGTGCTTTTTGTTGGTCATGGATGGATAGATGCATTGTTTGGTTTTTATATGAAATCTAAATGCTGCTTAAAATAGCTTTTCCTTACCCTCGCCCAATCTTTCCACTTTAGCTAAAATTCCTTATCTTCCTTATTGTTGCAGCGTAATTACCGATTCTTCTTCATGTTCGTATCAACTTCAACCATCTTGTGCATATATGTGTTCGCGTTTTCTTGGATCGACCTTCTTCAACTGAAAAAAGTAAAAAAGTCTATCTGGAAGGCTATGTCGAATGCTTACGTGTCAGATTTTCTCATTATCTACTGCTTCATAGCTGTCTGGTTTGTTGGTGGTTTAACAGTTTTCCACTCCTATCTGATTTGCACAAATCAGGTGATGTTTCTATCCCTCTCAAAGCAACGTCCGATTGTGCACTTTCTATGAATTAATCTTGCAAAAGTTTGATTCTTCTTCTTGTGCAGACCACCTACGAGAACTTCCGCTACCGCTATGATAAAAAGGAGAACCCCTATAACAAGGGGGTCCTGGGAAACCTTATGGAAGTTTTCTTCTCTAAGATCCCACCTTCAATGAACAATTTCCGTGCATTTGTGGAGGTAGAGGAACAAGATGCCGTGTGTGCGGTGACTCCAAACTTTGGTGAAGGTATTATGAGCTCAAAGGAGAAATTAGATATTGAGATGGGAATGAAGCTTGCAGAGGATGGTGGCATCACTCTCCCTGAAATCTTGCGCGACTTGGAATATGATGATTCGGATGATGATTTCAAGAATAAAGAGGAAGATAGAGGGCGTGTTGACTCGATTTTCCTTGTAGAGCAAGACATGAAGGAACCCACAGAAACAACTATCGATGGTGATCAAATGACTTGTTCTGGACAAAGCCATGCCGTTCAACAGAAAGCCAGAGAACCTTCGTATACCTCTGGTGCTTTAGAAGATGGCAATAGTGCAACAGAAAAGAAAGATGATACAAGTGGTTCCAATCAAAATGCTGCACCATAAAGGTCAATTTTGTTCTTATTCTATTATGCCTTTTTTGGCTTTCTGTACGTTTTATTAAATTTGTCATCCGGATTGGGTGGAATAGTCTTCTCATAAGTAGTATATTGTAATATTTTATCTGCACATTTAGCATAGATCACACGTGATGACAATATAACGACAGGCATCTACTTGTTGCAGGGGATATGCAAAATTGAAAAGCTCTTATTAACCTTCTTGTGCATGACCATCAAGAACTCTTCCTTAGGAAGTTAGGCACCCATATGGTTAGGAGATAGTTTCAGCTAATTGTTGGTCAACATGTTTTCCTTATCCATGTGACAGCAACTTTGCATTTGCCAAGTCAGCAGAAGTTTTCATTTATTACAGCACGATTTATTTGACAAAGTTCTTGCCGTTGAATGTTGAAGCCGAGATAATCAGACCAATGGTTTATCGAAATGCAACATTGAGGACGTCGTGAAAAGATTTGTAGATCATTCTTAGATATTGGTTTGAATTCCTTTTAGTTGCCATGCTTTTCTAGTTGGATTTACTTCATTAACTATGTTACCTAGGCTCTGACAAATCTTTCCTTGTCTTATTCAGAGCAGAGGTTAAATAACACATAATCACAGTTGAATTAGTTGGTGAACTGAGAGGAAGCCAGTAAACTCATCAGAAATGTTAACTGGAGGACTGATGCTTTTGATGCTGGACAAGGGGACAATGCCTTTAATCAGATATTGACATCTGCTAATTATTTGTTCAAAAGCATGGCAATGACTTGTACATTTGGGTATGAACGAGGAATCCTACGAGATAACAGACAATTTTGGTTCATGGAAAAATGGTCTGTGATTGTGAAGTAGGTTTCCTTTGAACTCGGATCAAATTCTATACTTTTGTTATATCTGTCACGATTCATCACATTTCATGCGGTTTATACGGTTTACTGGATTGAGTCATCTCCTTTTGAGAATTTGAACATGAACGATAAGCTTTGTGCTCACCAATGTACTTTCTTTCATTATCTCAGTAAAGTATTCTCTGAATTTCAGTTCCAGAACTCAGATATTTAGTTATGAAAATTGCAGAGTAAGGATCCTTTGTCTTCTTATGCAAATGGTCAAAATCAGCAGCTTTTCCTACAACTTACCGGGTGGTAAACTTTGCAATCTCAGCTAATCCTCACTTAAGTGTAATTTGTTCTACTGCTAATTCGGTTTATGTAGGTAAACGCTTGGAGCTCCAAAAGTCCATGAGCTTGATTTCACTTTTAACTGTTTAAGCCTCATCAGGCATGCTCTTTCGTCTGTCCCCAGTGCAAAAGTGTTTCCGCAATCTGTTATACGATACCGTGTCATTTGATAGGTTTTAATGCCGAGTGTGTTTTGCCTCTCCGACAATTTCACAAGATCCCTATCAGCTGGCTTTTATATCATTGTGTTGTGAACACGAAAAAGAAAAGAATGCGCGACAATGGGTGAATGATTCAGATGTGTTTATTGAGGACTTCATTTAAGCGTAACATTGTTGCCAGACCATTACACCGGAGATCACTGAGAAAACAGCATGCGGTGTGAAGCAAGAGTGATTCCTGAATGATCTATAAGATACTGTAGATTCAAACTTTTGTTATGTCAAGAAATTCATTTCGAATCAATCGATCATTGTCACGTGCCTTGATTTCCACTTAAAACCTGTTCATTAGAGGCTCACGATGGATGAGCTTCTAGACATTTTATTAGTAGAGTTCGTGGGCCAAGTGTATTGTTATGACCTTGATGATCAACGAGTTTATCTAGACATTCTATCGAGTGGGCTTTATTGATTAAGTGTATTGGTATGTTCTGTTTGGGCCATTAGCTTCTATGTTGAGACCTAGACTTTTAAGCCTGGTGTTGACACTAGTATATAAAATAAGTCAACTATTACAAGAATTTTGCTGGTTTTGGTTTTTACTCTTACCTGAATCGCCTAAGATTAGCAAACAAGGGAAAAAGTTGCATTTGGTGGATACTTCGATTAGTTACTTGGAATGGAGAGCATTAAAATTTGTTGGTCTTTTACATGGGGTCCCATGAAATATATATCTTATACCTTAAAGATTAGGTAACACATGAGCCTAAAACCGAATGAGTGGCCTAAGATGTGACCGAATTTCGGATGAGTCGCCCGAAGTATAAATTTTGTTTATGCTTAGTGACTAGGGGATTCGAACTTGTGTCTTGCCCTAAATCCATATAAATATATCCCTCCATTAACTGCTGTAATCTATAAGATATGTTTAATACTAAATAATCCATTAGACTGGCTCTATTTACTATGAAAATCCCTGAAAGATATAATGCATGACATAGTGGATGTGTACATGTATACGCATACGTACTTTTGTTGAATGAGAGAGAAGGCGAGGAGTGATCGACGACATTCCTTAAGAGTTACAACAAGAGTGTCACACCGCTACAGAATGTCTGGTTCGGGTCTTGAGTAGCCCAGTTAACGAGCTCTTCATCAAAGCACCACAGACATGTCGGTAGTTTATATCTTGCTCCACATGAGATAGCGGCGTCCACAAGCACAATTTTACCAAAGGCTCGAATTTGTAACTTCGTTAAAAATAGACGAGCACAAAATTGCCAAGTCAATCATGTCGGATAGTGATGTGTACATCTAGGTGCAATTTCTTCTTAGTGCACATTCAGTGAAACCCTTCCCAAGTTCCTACGCTTCATCTCTGAATTCTCAAAAAAGCACATGTTGATAGAAGATTGGATCAACAGTGACCTGTTGGCAACATCGGACGTGATCTAGTGTATATTGGCTGCTTTAAACTCCCTCGAATGTAGCATTTGACAAACTTTCTATCAAATATATTTTGGAAGACGTCGTGAAATTTATACGTTTAACGAAAAGGAAACCCACTTTTTGGGGGCTATTTTCATTGAATAAGATTCAAAATGTATAAGATAGCTTCATTGTCTTGCATTGGAAAATAGAGCTACTTTATGAATGATTTGTTTAGGCTCCGTTTATTTCGCCTTAAATAAATGATTTGGAAAATATTTTTCCTAAAGATGATCCTTCGTATAGCTTAAAAAAATGAATGAAAGGAATATATTTTCATCGTCCACGAAAATATTTTAATTATTGACAACAATTTATGTTTAAATATTTTCGTGAATGATGAAAATGTGTTTCTTTAATTCATTTTTGTAATCAATATAAGTTGTCATTTTAAGGAAAATATTTTCCGAAATCATTCATTTTGTACGAAACAAAAGGAGCCTAACATATGACATTTTAGTCTCTGATAAGGCTAAACAGATTACATTTCTAGAAAAAGAAAACGAATTATGTAGCTTCTTAGAGTCCAAAATCCTTAGGACCAGAAGACGATGGCGCAAAACCCGAACCCGACCATATAGACAAAAAGCAGCAGCTACCAATGAAATCTCTGCCTTGGTGGCGCCTCCTCGTATGTATGCACTTATATGGGTCCGAGGTTAAAGACAGTAAAAGTTTCATGTGGGATCAACATGATCTGGTGACTCGTATAATATTGGGCCAATATGAGACGGGTATGCTAAGTGATAGTTGCGTTCTTTCCATCCCGTGCAGTAGTGGCTAGTGCAGCAAAGCTTCATCTCTCTTTATATATAACTTCCTTTCTGGCTACTTATGAAGAAGTACTTCATTATGGTCTGCCAATTACCTGTTAGTGGACTTCAGAGCGCAATACATTCGACCATATCACCGGCGAAGAACTAAACAAATTGATGTCAAGGTACCTCTTATATGTGATAATCCAGTGCATGGTGACGAAGCCCACTCCATTGGCTAAATTTCAGTACTTTTTTAGACGTGGTCAATGTCTGCAGCAAGTGAGGAGCTCGGGAGGCTCAAGAGAGATGACGACCGATTAGCTTGAAGTGGGATTACGAGTCGAGATCAACCCAAGTCAATTTGAAATCAAATTGAGATTGAAGTCGAAGGGCATCCGGAGCGTGGGAAATAGGTTCGGTAAAGTGCAAAGACAGAGCCCTACATCTTGAGGATCGATTTCGACATTCGAAAAGATCAGCAAAATTTCTCCAAGCTACTGTGGATCCAACGACGACATCGGATGCTCGTTTTGGCATTTGGGATTGGAATCGGAGGTCCAGCTGAGGTTGGCCGGACGTTGGACCTGTGCTGTAATTTGGGTGCCACCGGATTCGGACGTCCAACCACTTCTTGCTTGAACTTCCGACTTGCTATCCGAGAAAGTTTGAGATATTTCGTACGTCTTAAGTCTGGGTTTTAACCTATTTTGCTTGTTACGTCAATTCTAACTTAAAGAAAAAGTTTTGGAGAGTTGTCAGAGAGAACTTGTAACGGTTTATATTTAGATTCTCTTTGATTTTATTCTTGTAATCTTGTTTGGATTGGGGTTCGAAAAACATTTGAGAGTGTAATGGAGTGATCATATTATCAATCGGTTGATTACATCATGCAAGCACAATAACGAATCACACGCAAATCTTCCGTGTCATGTTTTATTTCTACACCGCACTTGATATGTTTACATTACATCTATCCACGATTCTGCGGTTCTGGATATCTTTCATTCTTCTTTGGGGGGAGAGGATTGCGATATTTTGTAAGAATTCATGTAAATTTAAGAAAACCTTCATCAATATTGATATGCACCATGCCGGTACTCTCTACTTCAATGAGAGAGAGAGAGAGAGAGATATCAACCTTCATCGACATGCATGGTCATGAATTCATGTAAATAACTTTCAAGTTTCTTTTTTTCCTTCTCTTTATTTTGGTGGCCAGCGAGGGTAGGCCGCGCCAAATCTAGCGAGGCCAACCCTTTCCCACGCCGGGCAGCCTCACCGAATGTCGCCTAGGCTAGGGCAACCCTCACCCAAGGTAGGCATCACTTGTCAGCCTTGCCGAGCATCGCTTGGGTGAGGGCGAGACCAACCCATGCCTGGGCAAGGCCGCCCTCGCCCAGGCAATGCGTGGCCTCACTAAATCTGACGAGGGATTCGAATGGATGGCCTAAAGCACGAATTCAATAGGTTTATGACTTTTTTGACACTTCTCCCGTAAATCTTATGCCTATGAAATATCTCCATTGACCTTAGGGATCCGAATGGATGGCCTAAAGCACGATTTTTGATTTAATGCATTTAGTGACATGTATAAATTGATCATGTACTTTGTACACTATTGTCTAGATAAAAATTCGTTATACCAACTCTATTATCGCATAAAAGAAGTATGCGTCATGGTGGATGAGCTTTTCTCTTTTAACAAGTGAGAAGAGTGGGAAGGGGCTATTTGCATCGACAAATCCATTGGGAGTCGCGATTGGGGAGTTCCATACCCATTACAAAACGCTAGATTTGTGTCATAACTACTCAGCACTGCCTGAGATAGTGAAGTCTGAATTTTGGCGAGACCTTCGGAACAGCCTCGTCAGCATGTTTTCATTCACTACTCTCTTCTTTAAACAAGATAGCAACGCCCAAGAGGATAAGTATGGTATACTCTCGCTTACGAGATAACTCGAATTTGTGAATTCGTGAAATATAAAGAACAACCCACGAGATCATTGAGCCAACCATGCTCGGGTAGCAACGTATACATGTACGTTGAATTTCTTCTTAATGCACATTCGGTGAAAATCTTCCGTACGTTGGATCAACAGTGGCCTGTTGGCTACATTGGGCGTGATCTAGTGAACATTAGCATCCTATGTATAGGCAAACTTTAAAACACTTTATGTCTAATGAAAAGGAACGACTTTGTTTGGCCAAACTCAAGTTAGTAAAATTCAAAATGTATTAAAGATCTTCAATTTTGGCATTTCACGTGTAACTCGAACTCAATTCGATGACTATCAAGATCGATTCATCTAGTTTCGAGTTGGCCCCGAGCTCAAACTACTTGAGTATCTTGTCGGATCAAG